GGCTCACTGCACCCTCTGCCTCCTGGATTCAAGCAATTCTCCCACCTCAGCCTCCCAAGTGCTGGGATTACAGGCATGCACCACCATGTCCAGCTATTTTTTTTTTTGGTATTTTTATAGAGACAGCGTTTCACTATGTTGACCAGGCAGGTCTTGAACTCCTGACTTCAGGTGATCCAACAACTTTGGCCTCCCAAGGTGCTGGGATTACAGGCATGAGCCACTGCACCAGGCTAAATCCTAAATTATTCTAAAATATTTATATTAATATGTCATTCTTCCTTTCTCATATAACTTTAAAACAAAAATTACTTGTTTATAATGTCTTCAATAAAACATTAAGGAAACAAATGACTTCTTTAAAAAAAAAAGTAAGATGCTTACCAACTATACATAAACAGATTTCATTTCCCAACATTTTCCGTAATTCTTTGACCCAGTTTTTTACCTGTATATACAAAAGAGCACACATTAAAACAAATCCTGTTAGAATTACTACTATCACAACATCCAAAAACTTAACACTATCAAAATACCTCAGAATTTTAAGAGTCTATATTATTTAGTTATTACCAGAAATGATTCACTGAAGAATCATTTATTGCCAGATAGTATTGCAAACCATATACACATAAACACAACAATGGAAAAATACACAGAAGCAACTCTTACTATAAACTTGCATCAGTCTTCCACAGATCCAAGCAAAGCTATTCACTAGAGAAAAAGCGTATCAACTCCAGCTTCTGATAATAGATGCTTTACAATATAGATCACCAGTGTCACTTTGGACTTAGGAATATGTGGGTTTAAAACAGTCTTTTGTACCCTAATTGATTCCTAAATAGAGGGCATAGGAGCTTCAGTGTCACATAATAAAAGACAAAAAATAAATAATTTATATAAGCACTAAAAAAATTAACAGTGCTAAAATAATTTCATCATTTAGTGTATGACAGGGTTTTGCAACCTTGGCAATACTGACATTTTAGTACAGATAATTCTTTGTTGTGAGGCAGTGTCCTGTGCAATGTATGATGTTTAGTAACATCCCTGACTTCCTACCACTAGATGCCAAGAGCATCCGCCAGTTGTGACAACCAAAGATGTCTCCAGGCATTGTCATCCCCTGTAGAGAACTAATGATATACAATAACTCCAGTTATGAACTGATTCTCCGGTATGAATGCAGCATAATAGTAGACACAGTTGGCAGTAAACTGGAATTAAGTAGATAACGCTTTTGAACTCATGATTTTAAATGTTGATTATAATAACAGAATAAAAGGCAAACTTGGACACCTGCCTTCATTCTTTGCAATGAAATTTAATATGGATGTAACCAAATCACACTGAACTTATATACCCTCCTGAAAAAATACACGTGTATCTGTAAATTCCAAAAATTACATTAGCTATGTGGTAACCACTTACTGTGCATCTGGTCTTATGGTGTACAAATGTAACACTTCCACATTCCTATTCTCTACAGAATGCAGAGGAACTACCTTTGGCAAACCCAAAATCCTTACAAAAGCAAAGGTAGTTATCATCACATTATCTTTATAGCAGCACTGAATGACAGTTTTCTCAGTATAGCCCTACCTTTTTGTTTCATTCACATATATGTATAAAGTTTTCAAAGCATTTAACTTCCACTCTTTATTGATTTCACATAAGAAAAATTTGACCATATTGGCATAAAATATACATCTTCATCACCTCAAAAGAAACACAGCAGAATCTAATTATGTATTCCTCTCTTCCATGTGCATATAGTATCACAACCTACTAATCTAATCATTTTTTTAAAAAAAAGTTTGTTAGTCATTTCAAATTAGATACCCCTCCACAAGCACTCTATCTATTCTTTACCCCATACATTTTTGGTGAGTTAGAGATGGTCACAAATTCTTTGTCAATCCTCCCATCAAATATGGCAGAGTCAAATTCCCCACCCTCTGAATTTGGGCTGGCTTTGTAACCTGCTTTGACAAGACAATGTGGCAGAAGTAATGCTGTGCCAATCCCAGACTTAAGCCTTAAGAGGGCCTGGTAGCTTCTACCAGGCCCTCTTGGGATCCAGTTGTCATATAAAAAGCTTAAGGTAGAACACAGAATAATGAGAGAGCACATACAGTACTGGACGATAAGACACCAGATATAGTGAGAGGCCAGATGGAGAACTAGGCCTCCTTGGATATTCCAGCCCCAGCCAAACTCCCAGTTCAGTGCAGCTCTATGAGTGACTCCAGTGACATCACAAAGAGCAGTGAACCTGCCTGGTCAACCCACAGAATCATGAGAAATAATAAGTTACTGTTTTAAGTCAAAAATTTTGGGAGTTTTGTTACATAGCAGTAGAGAACTGGTCACTTTTCAACCTAAATGACTCAATCTTTTTTTTTTTTTTTTTTTTGAGATGGCATCTCGCTCTGTCACCCAGGCTGGAGTTCAGTGGCGCGATCTAGGCTCACTGCAATCTCTGCCTCCCTGGTTTAAGCAATTCTCCTGCCTCAGCCTCCCAAGTAGCTAAGATTGTAGGCATGTGCCACCACACCCAGCTAATATTTTTAGTATAGATGGGATTTCACCATGTTGGCTGGGCTGGTCTCGAACTCCTGACCTCAAGTGATCTGCCCTCCTCGACTTCCCAAAGTGCTGGGATTACAGTGTGAGCCACTGTGCCTGGCCTCAATCTTCTCTTAATAAATACTTAAACTATGTCTTTTCATGCAAAAAGTCAGGAGGGAGGTAACAAACAGCAGCACCAAAATAACTTTTAAAAATCATTAAATCTACAAGGTACCTATTGTTTCATTTTCTACTTCTCGGGTTAAGCTTTTCCAATATCGTTAATAACCCAAGGGCTAACTTGTATATCTGCTCTATCAGATTTAACTGGGAAAAAAAATAAAGAGAAAAAACAAACAAGTAATTTTACCAAGAACAAGCCTGTAAGTCAAGGCATGACAAGCTTCTTCCTTGGCATTACTCCCTGTGGTTACACATTGTTGACATATTCCAAGAACAGCTTTAGGAGGAAAGGTCAAATAAGTAACCCATCTGACTGTGATGAAATAAATTACAGTCAGAGGTAAATTAAATGGTAACTCATTTTTGGTCCCAAACAACTTTAAGAGTCATACATTTGTGGTGTGTATTTGAAGGGAAGTAAACTAATGAGATAATTTTAAGACTGTCCTTTTAAAACTTTTATTATATTTGGCAAGGAAAAAGCTTAAATGTGATTTTGCTCCTCCTTTTTTCTCTTCACAGTAAAGGAACTTGTCCAGCCACACCAAGTTTAAGAGCCCAATGCCTATGGAATTAAGGAAATAAGTGTGATTTTTCCATAAGAGGGAGAAACAAAAGCCCCCATATTTTTCTGAAGCTCACCTTCAAGTATTTTCCTTCCTTAATATTTGAGAAAGCCATGTAATAAGCCATTAATTATTCTAACATAAATTAATTCATATGAATTAAATATTTCATTAAACATAGGAGTATACCTCCATGTTGTAGGTGAAAAGAAAAATAAAATGTAAGTTGTCACCAGTTATGCACAAATTATATACTTTATTTTTAAAAACAAAACTAATCACATTAGTGAACAAAAGTATATTAATGGATACTTGAAAAATTACTATTGTCCTTCTAAGACATCTACCCATAAATAATATACCTTCTGAAAAGAATCTTCATCTGTTATGTCATAAACTAAAATAGCTCCATTTGAATCTCTGTAGTAAATTGGACCCAATGCATGGAATCTCTCTTGACCTGCCGTATCCTAAAGAAAGCAACAAATGCTTATTAGATCAGAAGAAAAATACAAATCTGCAATTGCAACTACGGTGAACTTTTGATTAATTGGAAAATATGGCATAAAGTCACAGACAACCACAAAACCCTCCTAACAGAAACAAAACAGCAAAACAGGTCACACAAAAAAATTTTAAGTTATGACCAATATGTAATGTTTTAGTGATATACGACAGTTACTTTTTCCCTCTCAACCTTCCTCCTCCTCAGCAACTTCCCCAACCCCATTAAAAAACCAGTTCAGTTGCCAGAGGGCCAAAACAGCCAACACAGTATTATAAGCCAGGAATAGGTTCTGCCCTAAGTTTAAGTTCCCACACTGGGAGAGACAGGGAAACAGCACATGCATCAAGATCACCAGTCAACAAGTACCCTGCTCCATTATCCTCACCCTACTCTCCATCAGTCATTCCCTTGGAAGGCTGGAATATGGAGACACAGGGTGGGCAAAAAAGGCCAGGCAAGCTGTCCACCCACCCTGTCCTCTCTCTGAAGTGGAACCCTTCTGAGTTGACCCTTCTCCAGCTGAAAAGTTATAACAGCAATATTCAAATATTCAATTATATTCCAGATATAATTCTCAACCAGATTTTAAGATTATTTTTAAATAAAAAAAAAAAAAAAGTTGTGGCTAAGCTCCAATAAACTTAAAAAAAAAAGAAAAAAGGAAGAAGTCTCCATGCATAAGAGTTGAAAAAGCTCACTTACCCATATGGCAAGGTTTACTCTTTTCCCACCAATATTTAACTTCTTTGTTAAGAATGATGCCTAAAAAGAGAAATATACATTAAACAATGTTTCATATGAAATACGGTTCTTTATCCTAACAACTATAGATGAATGAATCATTTCAATGTAAAAGTTATCTGGGAGAAAAAGTAATCACCGAGTTTCAAATTAATGATCGAAATTGTTTCATTAAAGATATTATTTACATTTTTACCTAAAAAAAAATCATGTTTTCTGAACATAGGTTATTAAAAATACACAGAAAATAAGTACCTTTTTCTTAATATTTTTCCTTATCTAAATGGAACAAAATTTTCCCTAGAGCATTTAATTTGATGCTACCTTATCTACTCACAGAAATAAAGAGTTTAAGAGATTTCTAAGATAAAATAAATGTTTACTGGTGGTTTACTTAATGTACAAATATCAATATTATTCAAAATGGTTCCACAATTACTTCGTAACTCAATTGTTTAACATATATTCAGTAATTATCCTAAGCATTAAAGTCAGAGAAATGAAAGGACATGGTTCTAGCTTTTACACTCTATTAGAGAAACAAAAATAAAGAGAATTACAATTCCATGTGATAACTGCTAAAATGGAGGGTTTGCCAAATACACCGTAAAGACAGTACTGAGAAAGGAAGTGTAACAGTTGTCTGAATGAGTCAAAGAAGGCTTCAGAGAGAAGGTAATGATCTCCCCTTTAGGAGCAGTAGGGGTTTTTTCTGATAGATGAGTGATGCCACTGAAGCCTCAAATACCTGACCCCATCCCCCAGGGAACTCCAAGTGGGTATGGTCAATACCAGAGATGAGACTACATAGATGGACTTTACCTTATAGTCTCAATAAAACTTGTTCTAAGACACCAGACATGTATTTAGACACACACACACACGTCAGGTATACTTTGGAAATGCTATTTATTGATTTTTATACACTAACAATGCACATTAACACATTAGGATGCTGCTAAACAGAAGGCTAGCTGACTGTATTTATACAAGCATTTCCCAAATTCATTTGAACTCTTTTTCCCTGATTTTCTTCTGTATAGCACTGAACCTTTTTTTCCTATAAAAATACCTAATTCATCCTAAAGAACAACTGTTTGAACACACAGGACTACTGACAATGGAGAATCACTGAATGGTTTCAAGCAATGGGGAAACAGACCTATATTTTAAGAGAATGACCCTAGGATAGGAAGGGAGGTTGGACTAGAAAAGATAGGTAGAAAGAACACTATTACAAAATTAGGGAAAAATATAAAAAAGGAGGTCTGAACTAAGACCATGAAGATAGGAAAGAAAGAACAGAATCAAGAGTTACTGAAGACAAAATATATCCAGAATCCAGAGTCAGCCGACAAGTTTAAAAAAAGGAATAGAGAGGTGAGTTAAGACCTGTGTAGAGACAGTCACATTTAGGTGTATTTACATAGAAGTAAGTACAAAAAAGGTGAAACAGATAAAAAGTCAGGATAGTGAATTACTGAAGGAAAGAAACTCAAGAAATCTCAATTTCAGGAAGGTCTTTTTGCTATGGGCACACCACAGAAAATCAGAACTAAGAAAAGGCCACTGGATGCAGTGATTAACTAAGGAGTCTACATTGCAGAGCTGGGTTCAAACACATGTATGTCTGCCCTCAAGGCCCCAGCTACCCTCAAGATATTTTAGTAAATAAAATAAAAATTATACAGAAAAGGAGAAAAATAAATTAAATGCCAAAACAGCAAATTAACCTGAAAAATGCAAAGACCAAATACATGTTACGACAATAAATGACTTCTCCCATTTATGCTAGCATAGGGGCTAAGAATATGAACTTTGGAGCAGAACCTGTGGATCTGAATCTCAGCTTTGCTACATACTAGCTGTATAATTTATCTGAACTCAATCATTTTCATGGTTTCAGTATTAATGCCATACGGAAAAAAAAACAAAATCTGAATCCTATCCGAATATTTAATGGATAGGTCAATTTAAATGCCTCTTTTTCAAATACATGTATGATTGAACCAATCTTCTCCCCAAAATTGGATTTTCATTCTGATTTTAGTATTTTGATCACATTTGCCTTCTCATTGAAGTTTAGAACCTTAAATTTATCTTCTTAAGCCCCTGTCAGTCCATATGCTTCCAAAATCTACCAAGCCTTGCCTTCACATTTCCTCTGGGGTCTATGACCACAAGTCTCTTATTATGTCATAACATAAATACCTCTGGTTCACCTCACACCCTACTCTGCATGCCATATTATCTTCCCAAAGCTTCCCTGGTTTAAAAAAAAAAAACAAAAAAAACCTTACAACTCATCGAAGGATTCCCTAATAGGTTATCATTTTTAATAAGTATGCTTCAATATCCCTGCTGATAGCTAATATCATAACCTTTTGGTCATGAGTGTTGTAGAGATTTCTCAGAAGGGAGTGCATCAGAGTTGGTAAAGCTCCCTCATTTCTTTTCTACTGTCCCCTCCGAAATTTCCCACCACTCTCCCATGGTAAATTTAAAGGACAGTATTAAGTCTCCCCTAAGGAACTATGGATACACAAAACACTTTTACGGAAAGGGTACACATCACAACATTGATTATACAGAAAAACAAAAACAATGAAATTATCTGTGTTCAATTAATAGGTAAGTAGTTAAAAATTCACAAAAATAGCCCATCCATACAGTAAAAACACTAGACAGTCATTTCTACTACTGCTGCTAATATGAGCTAACATTTATTAAATGTTCATTTTCTGCCAAGTACTGTGCTATGCACTTTTCACAAAATCATTAATAAGCTGCTTCTTTATAAAAGTTGGGGAGCCTGCATTTACAATTAAAAGTATCAAAGCCTTATCTTTATATCCAAAGACTTCCACAATGTGTCCACATCTATCTTCTTATGATAGCTTCTAATATTTCTTTACTTATTCTCCAACTTGTATGGCTTTTTTGCATCCTCTGCAATTCTTCTGCCCATAAAATTCCCCTCTAATTTGGGCCTATTCTCTGTTCTCTATCTAAATTCCACTTATCCAAATATGGCTCTTTTTCCCTGAAATTTCATGTTCTCTTATACTCATGCATGCAATGCACACTAAATTTTCCTATCCTAAAGAATTTTAGGGAATCAACTCTACATTTACTGCAGCTTATACTATCTTATACTATAAATTATCTTTTCATGAGTGTAAGTATTCTGTTAACTAGATTATATATTTTTATTTAACGTTTTTACAGCACTTACAATGAAATGGGCAGTGTTCCAAGAGCTTCTCAAATATTAATTCATTTAATTCTCAGGTGCCAATAATGCCCTGTGAGTCAGAGATAATTGTTATCCATGTATTACAGACGTGGAAAATGAGGCATAAGGAGGGTAAATATCTTGCCCAAGGTCACACAGTAAGTGACACAGTGCCATTTGAAATTCCAGGCAGTTTGGCTCCAGATATTAATTGTAACTACTATGCTACGATACTTCCCAGACTAAGATCTGAGTTCTCTAACACTTCCTCTCTTGTGGAAGAAGTGGGGAAAGTCATAGTACCCTGCCTATAATAGACAGTCAAATACTGTTATTATAGATAAGCACATCTACAATATGCCCTGGTAAATCGATGCAGGTATAATTCAATTTAGTAGAAGATATGCTCCTAAGTTTCCTTACTAATCAAACTATTTTAACTCAGATATATGATGCATATTATCAAAGGATCCCTAGTACATTTTTTTTTCCTTCATAATGAAAAACTTAAGCCCTGCTCTAAAATTATGAATATATTTAAGAAGAAAGCTGAAACATCAAGATAGCAGCAAACAGGTATAAAAATAGGCACGTAGACCAATGGAACAATAGAGAACCCAGAAATAAAGCCAAATACACCCACCTGATCTTCGACAAAGCATAAAAAAACAGAAATTTGGGAAAAGATTGCCTATTTAACAAATGGCGCTGGGAAAACCGGCAAGCCACATGTAGAAGAATGAAACTGGATCCTCATCTCTCACCTTATATAAAAATCAACTCAAGATGGATCAAAGACTTAAATCTAAGACCTGAAACCATAAAAATTCTAGAGGATAACATTGGAAAAACTCTTCTAGACACTGGCTTAGACAAAGAATTCATGACTAACACCCCAAAAGCAAATGCAACAAAACAAAAATGAATAAATGGGATCTAATTGAACTAAAATGCTTCTGCACAGCAAAATAAATAACCAGCAGAGTAAACAGACAATCCAGAGTGGGAGAAAATGTTCGTAAACTAAGCATCCAACAAAAGACTAATATCCAGAATCTACAAGGAACTCAAACATATCAGCAAGAAAAAAACAAATAATCCCATCAAAAAGTGGGCAAAGGACATGAAAAGACAATTCTTAAAAGAAGATATACAAATAGCCAACAAACATATGAAAAAATACTCAACATGACTAATTATCAGGGAAATGCAAATTAAAATCACAATGAGACATCCCTTACTCCTGCAAGAATGGCCATAATTAAAAAGTCAATATAACAATAGATGCTAGTGTGGATGTGACCAAAGGGGAACACTTTTACACTGCTGGTGGGAATGTAAACTAGAACCACCACTATGGAAAACAGGATGGAGATTACTTAAAGAACTAAAAGTATTATAAAACTATCATTTGATCCAGCAATCCCACTACTGAGCATCTACCCAAAAGAAAAGAAGTCATCATATGAAAAAGTCACATGCACAGTTTATTGCAGCACGATTCACAATTCACAATTGCAAAGATATGGAACCAACTTGAGTGTCCATCAACTAACGAGTGAATAAAGAAAATGCAGTATATATATATACCATAGAATACTACTCAGCCATAAAAAGGAATGAAATAATGTCTTTTACAGCAACTTGGATGGAGCTGGAAGCCATTATTCTAAGTGAAGTAGCTCAGGAATGGAAAACCAAATATTGTATGTTCTCACTTACAAGTGAGACCTAACCTATGAGGATGCAAAGGTATAAGAATGATATCATGGACTTTGGGTACTCA